AAAGTCCAGGTCCAGACAAGTTCACAGCTGAATTCTACCAGACATACAAAGAGGAGGTGGTACCATTCTTGTTGAAACTGTTCCAAACAATACAAAAAGAGAGAATCCTCTCTAACTCTTTCTATGAGACAAACATCACCCTGATATCAAAATCTGGCAGAGACACAACTAAAAAAGAAAACTACAGGCCAATATCCATGATGAACATTGATGCAAAAAAATCTTCAATAAAATACTGGTGAAATGAATCCAACAGCATATCAAAAAGCTTATCCACCGCGATCAAGCAGACTTCATCCCAGGGATGCAAGCCCGGTTCAACATACACAAATCTGTAAATGTAATTCACCACATAAACAGAACCAAAGGAAAAAAGAAATCATTTTATTATCTCAATAGATGCAGAGAAGGCCTTGGACAAACTTCAACAGCTCTTTGTCCTAAAAACCGTCAATAAACTAGGTATCAGTGACAATAGAAGCTATTTACGACAAACCCACAGCCAATAACATACTGAATGGGCAAAAGTTAGAAGAATTCCCTATAAAAACTGGCACTAGACAAGGATGCTCTCTCTCACCACTCCTATTCAATATAGTATTGGAAGTTCTAGCCAGAGTAATTAGGCAAGAAAAAGAAATAAAAGGCATTCAATTAGGAAAAGAAAAAGTCAAATTGTCCCTATTTGCAGAATACATGATTGTATATTTAGAAGACCCCATCATCTCAGCCCAAAACCTTCTTTACTTGATAAGCAACTTTGGCAAAGTCTCAGGATACAACATCAATGTGCAGAACTCACAAGCATTGCTATACACCAACAACAGACAAACAGAGAGCAAAATCATGAGCAAACTCCCATTTACAATTGCTACAAAGAGAATAAAACACCTAGGAATACAACTAACAAAGGAGGTAAAAGATCTCTTCAAGGAGAACTACAAACCACTGAACAAGGAAATAAGAGAGGACACAAACAGATGGAAAAACATTCCATGCTCATGGTTAGGAAGAATCAATATTGTGAAAATGGCCATACTGCCCAAAATAATTTATAGATTCAATGCTAGCCCCATCAAGCTACCATTGACATTCTTCATAGAACTGGAAAAAAAAACACTTAATCTTCATATGTAACCAAAAGAGAGCTCACATAGCCAAGACAATCCTAAGCCAAAAGAACAAAGCTGGAGGCATCATGCTACTTGACTTCAAACTACACTACAAGGTACAGTAATCAAAACAGCATGGTACTGGTACCAAAACAGATAGACCAATGAAACAGAACAGAGGCCTCGGAAGCAACGCCACACATCTACAACCATCTGATCTTTGATAAACAGGATAAAAACAAGCAATAGGGAAAGGATTCTCTGTTTAACAAATGGTGTTGGAAAAACTGGCTAGCCATATACAGGAAGCTGAAACTGGACCCCTTCTTTATACCTTATACAAAAATTAACTCCAGAGGGATTAAAGATTTAAACATAAGCACTAACACCATAAAAACCCTAGAAGAAAACCTAGGCAAAACCATTCAGGACATAGGCATAGGTAAGGACTTCATGACTAAAACACCAAAATCAAGGCAACGAAACCCAAAACAGACAAAAGGGGTCTAATTAAACTTAAGAGCTTCTACACAGCAAAAGAAACAATCATTAGAGTAAATCGGCAACCAAAAGAATGGGAAAAAAAATTTTTTGCAATCTACCCATCAGACAAAGGGCTGATATCCAGAATCTACAAAGAACTGAAGCAGATTTACAAGAAAAGAACAAACAAACCCATTCAAAAGTAGATGAAGATAAGAACAGGCCCTTTCCAAACGAAGACAAATATATGGCCAACAAACATGAAAAAATGCTCATTATCACTGGTCATTAGAGAAATGCAAATCAAAACCACATTGAGATACCATCTGACGCCAGTTAGAATGGCGGTCATTAAAAAATCTGGAGACAACAGATTCTGGAGAGGATGTGAGGAAATAGGATCACTTTTATACTGTTGGTGGGAGTGTAAATTAGTTCAACCATTATGGAAGACAGTGTGGCAAATCCTCAAGGACCTAGACATACAAATTCCATTTGATCCAGCAATCCCACTACTGGATATATACCCAAACGATTATAAATCATTCTATCATAAAGACACATGCACACATATGTTCCTGTTTACAATAGCAAAGACCTGGAACCAACCCAAATGCCCATCAGTGACAGACTGGACAAAAACAATGTGGCACATATACAACATGGAATATCCTGCGGCCATAAAAAATGATGAGTTCATGTCCTTTGTAGAGATATGGATGAACTTAGAAACCATTATTGTCAGCAAACTTACACAAGAACAGAAAACCAAACACCACATGTTTTCACTCATAGGTGGGTGATGAACACTGACGACACTTGGGCACAGGGAAGGAAACAACACTCACAGGGCTACGTGGTGGGGTGGAGAGGAGGGGAGGGATGATGGGGTGGTGGGGAGAATGGGGAGGGATAACACAGAGAGAAATGCCTGACATAGGTGATGCTGTTGGGGCAGGGGGCGTGATAGAGACAACAAACCACCATGGCATGTATGTACCTATGCAACAGTCTTGCAGGATACAGGGACATGAACATGTACCCCAGAGCCTAAACACCATAAAAAAAAAAAAAAAAAAAAGAACAAATGAAACAGCTGACTCCAAGAAAACCAGAGACAGTTTAAAGAACAAAGAAAACTTTATAGTGTATAATTATTACTCTTAGAAATATAGAATATTTCTTCATTAGAAAATAAACATTGCAATGAGAAATAAAAGTGATCATACAAAAGAAAGTTATGTAGAAATTTCAAATCGTCTTCTCAACTTTTTAAAAAAAATACATGAAATTACTAAGTAACTGAATATATTTGATTTAAATCAAATTATTTATTGTACATGGAATAATTATGAACTCTCCCAGAATATGAAGAAAAGTTAGAAAATGAGAAAAATTAAAAGAACACAATGGAATGAGACAGGTATTGTAACATCCAATAGAAGTTCCAAAAATGAGAGAATACATAAAATTTAGCAGGCAAAATGCTAAAATACAGTAGAATATATTTCAATTATATTTAAGTAGTCTTTTGTTATATTTAAATAATTCACTGAGCATCAAATTGGGTAGAAGAAAAGATTTAAGTCTATAAATATCTTTGGAAAATTTCTGAGTTTAAAGGGAAATTATATACAATTTCAGAAAGGAAAATATAAACAGGTTGCTTCCAAAGAAATAAGAACTCAGAGACTGCTATCAAATTGCTCGCCACCAGCACAAATGCCTGATGAAAACGCAACAAGGTTCTGAGAAAAGTGATCTTGAGCTTGTAATTCCAAACCCAATTCAACTATCAATTTTTAAAAGATGATTTTAGGCAGATTGAGATATTTTTTATCTTATACATGCTTCCTTCAGAAAGATTTCCTGATGATAGATTTAAGCAAAATAGTAATTACATTTAGGCTATAACATTACGTTGAATCCACACCTTGTGGAACTAAGCCAGGAGAATAAATGGTGGCAATCAAAGGTGACAACAGTGCAGCCAGTATAGAAAGCTAGAAGAAAAATGAATTCATAAAGTTTGTCTTCAAGAAGGTGGTTTTTATCCATAGATTTTTGTGATTATGAAAGTGAAGGCCTTCACTTGTCTCCTTTATAAACAACTACAAAAATCTCTGGAAAACTTTAAAATTGTTTAAACTTTAAAAGTGCAAGAAAATCATATTTTTAACATAAAATGAACTTAAATGAGACATAATTTTGAGCAAATACTTGAATATAGGAGCAGGCAATTTATTTGACCTACGCATATAGAAAAAATCTTATTTGACTGAAACAGATAAAAAATTGAATTTGATAAAAATTGAATTGCTTCTCTTTGGTCAAATTATAGTGTTATTTATTTTTAAATATTCTTGATCATGCTGTAGTTACCAGTTTTCTAAGAGAATGAATAGTAAGGTAAACAGTTATTATAATTATGAAACATCCATATTAGGAATCACGGAACTTCCAAAGTATCTACCTTATACTATAACTGAGAGAAGTTAGCAGGAGGCAGAGAGAAGCTATGGATGAGTTATTTTTTTCTTATTGCAAAGGAAGGAATTAGATATACGGTTTAACAATCATGAACTAAAAGTACAGACATACATGATTTTATTGTTAAGAAATATAACTACTAGAAGGACAAAAACATAGACAAAAACAAAAATTAAGCAGAGAAAAGACAGAAAAATCAAGGTAGTAGGCAGTACACCTGACCTAAATTCCAGCTGTGGTGACAAGATGTCAGGACATGTTTTCCAGTTGATAAAATGGTATTAATAAATTAAAAAATCAAGGTGTAAAAACACATTAGTTTAATGAAAATGTTAACAACAGAAAGTGGGGTAGTAAGCCTCTGAAGGATATGGGGTATCACAGAGTGGGAGGAGCCGAAAGCTCTTAATTTTATGTATACCCTTCTATACTGTGAATATTTTAAACCAAAAACATGTATTATTACTATAAAATCATAATAAAAGTATAAAAAATTATATAAATTGTATATACACATACATATACATATGTGTGTGTGTTTGGCTTTTTGTCAATCTGTGTCTACACATGTGCACATACATACATATATGTTTGTGGAAAGATGCATATACATGAATATCATGCATATATATTCAGATAAGTATTTTTTTTCTGAGTGAGTTTGTAGAACTTATATAGGTACCTACTTTGAGACAGCTAATGCTGCCTTTTAATTAAGATCTATAAACCTTCTAGGCATCCAGTCCTGCGTTATCACTGCCAGTATGTTTCCCAAAGGTGAAACAGAATTTTAAGGATTATAAACACTTAAGGGGAACGAACAACTTCAGGGTCACTGAGCTGAGGTCACTCGCTGTGGCCTCGGAGCCTGCCTGAATCTCCCGCCCCGTCTCAAACCTTGCAGCTGAGTAACTGCAAGGGCGCCTTTGAGGAGTAGCACGCAGAGAGTGTCAATGAAGACCTCAAGTCTGGAGAAAAATGACCTTTCATGGAATACAAAATATACCTCCTGCTACGTGTTTTTGTCTTACTGACCTCTGATAACTGAAACACATGGCTCTGAGTCTGTAGAAAGTCAACTGATCAAACTCCTCCTCACCATGCATCAACTGTTCAGACTGGGTTTGGGACAAAAAGATCTCTCACGAGCTAGAGACCCCTTCTCCTTAGATGACTCTGAGATTGAAGACAGCCTGACAGAAGCTTTGGAGCAAATTAAGATAATTAGCTCATCTTCAGATTATCAAACCAATAACAATGACCAGGCAGTAGTTGAAATCTGTATCACGAGAATCACAACAGCCATCAGAGAGACTGAGTCCATTGAAAAGCATGCAAAGGCCCTTGTGGGGCTCTGGGACTCCTGCTTGGAACATAACCTGAGACCCTTTGGGAAAGATGAAGATACTCCTCAAGCAAAAACTGCATCTGATATCATGAGTTGCATTTTACAGAATTACAACAGACTCCCCGTGATGGCATTAGCCATCCCCATTGCAGTGAAATTCCTCCACAGAGGCAACAAAGAACTGTGCAGGAATAAGTCTAACTACCTGTCTCTGGCCGCAATTACCAAGGCAGATCTCCTGGCTGATCCCACGGAAGTTATAGTAAAGAGCATACTCCAAGGTATGGTGCAAAGGTTGAGCTTGGGAACATGTTTTAGGAGACATTTAAAAGTATTTTCATGAAGCATTTATAGTTCGTGGGAAGCAAGACAAATGTATTGTATGTATCCATTTGCATCCTGTGCCTGATTTCAAACCAAATGCATCTTTTGAGCTTATGAGTGAATCATGAGAAACTTTGTCCAAAGGGCTATGTTTTTATCCCTGAAAGTAAATATTTCAATAGTTCTAAGCCAATTTTTACTACTTCTTATTCTTAATGGTTATACGTAAGTAATGTTTACTTTTACATTAAGTTTAAGTATACATTTATTTTATTCAAATTGTTTAGAGTTATTTTGTCTGTTCTGCATTTTCTGAATTTTCCCAGTAAGTGGTCATTGTAAAAGGTCTTTCCTTTTGGAGGAAGGATTGAAGGTATAATTGGAATGTTATCTTGATTCATACTTGAAAGTTAAGGGGATATAAAACTTGAATATCTCTATACCAAAAAATAAATAAACAAACAAACAAACAAACACTTAAGGTCCAAATCATTGTAATCTATATTACACACAAAGTTAATCTCTTGACTCTAACAATTGGATGGTTTATTCAACTTCATATAACTTCATTGATTTCTCTTTCATCATTAAGGCTTAAAATCAACAGTTACTCGTGAAAAAAACTAAACTCCCTTCCATAGGCTTTCTTGTGCACTGGTTGCTGCTCTAAATCGTATTTTAGCTCCCAGGTAGAACACATACTGAGAGTAATAATCTTAACATGCTAAAATCCCACAGTACAGAAATTTGACCAGGTTATGATCCAAACATAATTCAGAAAATATGTGGTGTTGGAGGTCAAAATTATCTGATTAGCATATTCCATTGTCTTATGCAAAGTATTTCAGGAGGAAACTTCAAAGGTTTTACTACAAATTAACAACAACTGGCCTATTTTCCCTAACAAGGAATGCTGTTAATATTTCATAATGACAATATTCTAAATTCAAAGTCTAGTATCACCTTTTTAAATGAAACTTCTCCTAATTATTACAATCCACAATTATTTACTCGTTTGTTTGCACCATTTACTGAGCACTAATTACATATCCGGTAGTGAAATACATAAATAAAAATTATAGACCTTGTCCTCAAGCAACCCGTATTCTATTGACCAAACCACATATAAGTGAGTCAACACACGATACAACAAATAAAGTGCTTGTGATAGAGGAAAGCATAGAACGCTTTAAAAATAGAAAAGGACACTCAGTCCGTAAGTGGAGAAGGAAGAAAAAGTCTGTGGTCATGAAATTCTAGAAAAAAATATCTGAATTCAATTGTGAGAGGCAAGTAGAAGTTAATCAGGCATATAAGAATACAAAGAATCTTCTAGATACAGAACAACATGAAGGTAAGTATTCCTGATTTGCTTAGTTTTCTGATTTGGGTTCCCAAGAAATCTCCTTGGCTGCTTTTGGAAACCGAATTGCAATGATCGAGGATGGAAGCAGAGAGAACCCTATGCAGACTGCTGCACTGATTGTGTAAATAATAGTTGTCGCTTGGACTATGGTAGTAGAAAAGATGAAAAAAAAAAGAGGAACTTGCGATATATTTTGGAAGAAAAATTCACACACTAAGATGATGAGTAGTAGATTGGCAAGTGAAACAAACGTAAAACTGAAAAATCATTAACCAGCAACCAGATGGATAATGGTAGTTTTACTGAAATAGGGAGGTCTGGAGTAACATGTCTGGAGTCAGAGAGGCAATTAATGACTTGTTATTTACATATATTTACTAATAAAATAAAATGTCTTAAAATTCTTATGTGTGACATGTGGCTAGAAGAATAACTCATTTAAGAATTAGGATTGTGAGCCGGGGGCGGTTTCTCAAGCCTGTAATCCCAGCACTTTGGGAGGCCAAGGCAGGTGGATCATGAGGTCGAGAGATCGAGACCATCCTGGTCAACAAGGTGAAACCCCGTCTCTACTCAAAATACAAAAAAATTAGCTGGGCATGGTGGCGCGTGCCTGTAATCCCAGCTACTCAGGAGGCTGAGGCAGGAGAGTTGCCTGAACCCAGGAGGCGGAGGTTGCGGTGAGCCGAGATCGCGCCATTGCACTCCAGCCTGGGTAACAAGAGCGAAACTCCGTCTCAAAAAAAAAAAAAAAAAAAAAAAGAATTAGGATTGTGGTACTGTTTACAATAGCAAAGACTTGGAACCAACCCAAACGCCCATCAATGACAGACTGGATAAAGAAAATGTGACACATATACACCATGGAATATTATCCAGCCATAAAAAAGATGATTTCATGTCCTTTGCCGGAACACGGATAAAGCTGGAAACCATCATTCTCAGCAAACCGACAGAAGAACAGAAAACCAAACACCACACGTTCTTACTCATAAGTAGGTATTAAACAGTGAGAACACATGGACACAGGGAGGGCAGCATCACAAACTGGGGCCTGCTGAGGGGTAGCAGGGCTAGGGGAGGGGTGGCAGGGGCTAGGAGGATTGGGAGTGACGTCATTGGGAGAAGTGCTTAGTGTGGATGGCAGGGGGATGGATGCAGCAGAGCACCATGGCAAGTGTGTACCTATGTAACAATCCTGCACTATCTGCACATGTACCCCAGAACCTGAAATTAAAAAAAAAATAATTAGGATATAGGAGTAAGACAATTAAGTTCATTTAAGTTATAGAAAGTGATTTTAATATGTTATATAGTTAAGTATAGAAGAAATCTGTGACCGAACATAATTTAGAAGTCCAATAAGAATGAGGTGAGTGGAGTCAGGAGAACTTCAACTATCATAGCCTTTATCACAATGAATCATAGCCTTTATCACAATGGGTGTAGGCACAGTTTCAGAGAAGTAAAGAAGCTAGCCATGTTTCTGCTTTCAAAAAGTGCCACAAACCTCATTAAAAATATTGAGTGGCTTTTATTTGCACTCAGAAGACATCATAAACTACTCACAAACTTTACACTGCACTCCAGCTATATTCCACAAACACATCCCTCTTGGCATCTTTGCAATCACTATGTTCTCTGCCTGAATGGTCCTCATTCAGCCACACCCTGGTTGTAGGGTATAAAATTGCTGATATGGGACACTTAAAGTACTACTTGGCTCCCAAGATCAAGGATGAAGAAGGATCTTAAGCATTCTTAAAATTCAAGAAAATAAAACTAAGCTCTTTGAGAACTGCTTCTGAGATGCCAGCATATACTGAAGTCTTTTCTATCACCAAATTTGTACCTCTAAGTACATATGTAGATATTGTTATCTGTAAATAACTTACTTTTTTTCTATTCTCTGCAGTTTGTTTAAAGATCTCTGCAACGTCAGATCCAGTCTAATTAGCCTAGAAGTATTTTTGTCTCTTAAAAATACTTGTGATTTTTATAATATAAAAGGGTCTTGAATGTAAATGCAGTTTTAAGAATTGGTTTTGAATTTAAATAAACTACTTGAATTTCAGAAAAAAAAAAAAGAGAGATGGTGTGGCTCAGTCTCATTTTTTAGGTCTTACCTCAAATATCCACTCCTTGGAGCAAGTGTCCTTTATTTATCATCCTAGCAAAAAAAAAAAATGACCGTGGCCTGTTGTTTCTACTTCATCTCCTGTATAGAATAGCACTATCATAGTGTGAGTGTTTATTTTTATTGGCCCCTGGAAAGCAATCTCCATGAAGGCAAATGTTGGTTGTCTCCAATACAGTTCGGGGCCAGGCGTAAAAGGTGGTAAATAAGCAACTGTTATTTGATAAAACATAAAGATGAATTATTACAAAACAAATATGGATTACAGTACTATGTGCATTACTGGTATCCTCTACTTAGAAGACTCTGCAGCTTCCTTGGCTGATTAGTTCCTACTTGTCCCTCACAATTGATGACTGTCTGTAGGTTATATCCACACACATGCTACTTCTACCCACCTCCATTAAATGTTGTCCTAGACAAGGCCCTTTCATCTCTATCCTGGAGAATTGTATTGCAATAACCTCGTAAATTACACTCGTAGCTTCTTTGCCTCTTTGGAGTTTATTCTCCACCCAGAAACCATAATGAAATGATTTTCATAAAAAGAAGTCAGATTAATTACTCCTCAGAACAAAAGACTGTGATATATTTGATATTAATAATGGCAAATTCAAGGCTTAAAAGAATAGATACTAGAGCTAACTTCTGAGTCTATATCCTGGTTGTACCCCTTCTTGACCCCGTGACCTTGGCTAAGTTACTTAAATCTTCTACATCTCAATTTTCACATGCGTAAAATGGAAGTAATTAAAGCACCAAATTCATAATGTTATTGTAAGGATTAATTGGGTCAAAATACGTGAAATCCTTAGGAGCTTTGTCTATTAGTTACTATTTTCTTGTGCTATAGGTGCTACCATGATCTAGTCCCCTAGTCACCATCTGATCTTATCTTCTGTCTTCTGTGTTCATTTATTCTATCCTTAATGGTCTCTTGCTGTTTCGCATGCATACCAGCAAACACCACTTCCAATTCTGTCTACATAGAAAAGTTTTGACTTACATATTTCCATGGCAAACTATCTCAATATTTATAAGAAAATATTTCCTAATCCTTTCATATAAAAGAGTATATCTTGTCACATTCCATCTTTATATACTTAACTATTTTTGTATTGCAAACAGCGATATAGAACAATGCAACAGAACAGAGGCCATGGAGGCAACACCACTCATCTAGAATCATCTGATCTTTGACAAACCTGACAAAAACAAGTAATGGTGAAAGGATTCCCTGTTTAACAAATGGTGTTGGGAAAACTGGCTAGCAGTGTGCAGAAAGCAGAAACTGGACCCCTTCCTGACAACTTACACTTAAATTAACTCCAGATGGATTAAAGACTTAAACATGAGACCTAACACCATAAAAACTCTAGAAAAAAACCTACGCGAAACCATTCAGGACATAGGCATAGGCAAGGACTTCATGACTAAAACACCAAAAGCATTGGGAACAGAAGCCAAAATAGACAAATGGGATCTAATTAAACTCCAGAGCTTCTGTACAGCAAAA